TTTGAAGCTGTCTGAAGTTCGATCTGTTCTGTTTCATCTTTCTTGGAGTAGTTTAATTGTATTAGGTTGGAGTTTAGATGTTTTGGTTGTTTTCGTGTTTGAGCATATTTTCTTAACCGATGTTGTTACAGATACTTTTATTTTATTGGCTAGTCCGTTTATATCCATTTGTTTCAGTGTCTCTATTGATTCTAGTCTTGTGCGCTCTTTTTGGTATTCCGTTTGTTTTTGAAACAGGACATCAGTGGTTGGGTATCGTTCTCATTTAATAAGTTTGTTTCGTTCTACTCTTGTCTGTATGATATACAATATAGTGAAATGTATATTAGAGTATGTTTTATGCAGCAGAAATGGAGGATTTGTTGATGATGGCTCTGTTATTTTTTTTGTAGTAAGTTTTTAGACTTTTGGGAATTCATTTGTATTTGGTAGTGTTAATATGATTTGTATGTTGCAAGAAAGTAATGACAATGGAGAAGAAAAACTAATAGTTTTCAATGGAACATAACCTTAAGGTGCCAAGTACACAATTTGATCATAAAGATGTACATCAAATAACCTGGGTCTCTTCTGATGGGAAAAACGAGAAATCAAATAGGTCATGTTCTCATTGAAAGAAAATACAATAGATCCGTAACTGATCGTAGAAGCTACAGAGGAGCAGATGCCAACAGTGACTATATATTGACAATATTTTTAAGCAAGAAATTTCCAAACAACGAAGAAAAGGAAAACAGTGGAAAATGCCAAATAGAGCAGCTCCAAGACAAAGAGGTAGTGAAAAGAATAGAGGAAGAAATAAACTATTGGGAAGAATCGTAACAGAAAAACAGAAAAAGAAACGAGAGAAAAATGCAAAAGAAAGGGTAGTGCCACCAGAAATATGAAAAGTACTAGGAGATATACTGCAGCAAAGGATAGATTGATAAAAATATGGGAAAACTAAAAAATTCCAGAGCAATGGAACACAGCTCTCATCTGCCCAATTCACAAGAATATTAGAAGTAGTGTCTAAAGTATTAGACTTAAATGGTTTGTAATTCGACAAAAATTACTGATCCTTGAAGTAGACCTTTACTTTACTAGGAGATCATAGAAAAATATCTATGTGGTATCTACTATACATGTTATGAATTTGTAAATGTTGACATAGGATATGTTTGTATTTTAATAATTTATCATAATTTGTATCATATTCAATTTATCATAATTATTTTGTTTGTTCATTCTAACTTTAATCTAATTTGCAGGAATGTCTTCCAGTGATTGGAAGTTCTCAAGTATCTTCAATTCTTCAAAATTTGGATCCAACGGGTGTAGAAAATGGCTCTCAGAACATGGACTTAATAATTCTGCCAACAGCCGATTTTAAACTACCTGTAGTAGAGAATCCATTCTCAATTCCTAACAATTATATAATTTTAAAAGAAAATGGAGAGACAAAACAAGACAGACTAAAACCGAGTATTAAATTAAGAGATTTGAAGCCAAAAAAGAAGGACAACTATGAAGACATGTTATATTTTGTGTGCAACTTATGTCCGTTTTTGTGTACAAATGATACAAAAATTAATGAACATTTAGAAAACGCCCACAAAAACAAGTCTGTAGTTAAACTGCAAGAATTAAAGTGTCCTGCGTGTCCTAATATATTTTTCCACAGAATGTCTCTAAGATCCCACCTCATCCATGACCATGGAGTAGGAAACTCAGATATCACTCCCATCATTCAGGCAGTGGTTTATTACTCTAATAAAAATAAAAAGAAAGAAAAACAAAAGCTGCATGTGAAACCTGTTGAGGAAATGACATTAATATGTGGTAATGGTTAGTATCATAGATATAAATTGTAATAAAAAAACAAGTATTTTTGAAAAAAATTAGCTTGGATCTATATAATTGTATTTCTAGCCTATGCATTGTTGTAAAGATGTTACCGATTTTATAAGACGCCATTGTTTTTTCCACAGTGAAGTACTTATATAGGTTACAAATTAGAAAACCTACATCTAAAACACATCTTGACATTTTTAATAAAACATCACAAACAGATTTTGACAAAATTAACAATATACCAACAATTTCAAACAATATGTCAACTGCAAGATAAATTTCATTTCATTAATAAAATGACTTCAATTTACCAGCTCTACTGTACAAATATTTAATTGTGTTGTGAAATCATTCTATAGTTGGGCCGCCGAACAGGTAGAATTATCATGTGAACGCCATGCGCTGGTTACGAGTTGCGGTTTCCAATGTCACAAGTACTATTTACACTAGATCAAGAAGAGAGATACAATTATCGCTGTGAATGCGGTAAAACTTGTAATATACATATTAAAAACTTAATTCTATTTGTCACTGTAATAATGGAGTTATGATATTTACAATTTATTATTGATTATGTAGTATGAGTAGTGTGACCAATTAGTCCGAAAAATCATATCAAATTGAAATTTATGTATTTTAATTTTCTGAAAAGAGCAATTCAAAAACAATAACAATTCATGTATACACATATATCATCTGTATTACGAGGCATGCTGCATACAACGATGTAATGATTGCTGTTCAATGTTTTTTTTTCGGTTTTGTCAACCATTTTAAATAAACAAACTTCTTGATTTCGTTGGCGCTATTTAAAATCAATCCCATCGAATAATTAATTTTCAAACCATTACGTGCTTTGAATCAAAATCAAATCTGCTGCGTTGGAATATAATTTTATGTAAAAATTTATTTTATGTCAGTAATCAGCTTGAAGCCGCAAATAATGCAAGTTAAATAATCAATCAAATGATATTAAAGTTCTATATTTAAAAAAAATGGCACGATTTTCATTGAAAAGTCCCGGATTTCAGGTATTGTTTTTCAGCTTTGACCCGATTTCGACTGAATTGGAGTTTTTTCA